ATTGCAGGGGCAGGACATGGTGCTTCACCCTACAATCCTAGCACTCTGGGAGGCTGAGATGGGAGGATCCCTTGAGTTAGGAGTTCAAGATCAGTCTGAGCAAGAGTGAGAACCCCCCCCCACCCCTGCATTACTAAAGAGAAAAAATGAGCATTATGTCAGAATAAGAAAAACAGAAAAAATTAATCAAGCGTTGTGTCAGGCACCTGTAGTCTCAGCTACTCAGCAGCTGAGGCAGGATTGATGAAACCCAGGAGTTGGAGGTTGCTGTGAGCTAGGCTGATGCCAGTGCAGTCTAGCCCAGGGCAACAGAGTTAAGACTAGCTTAAAAAAAAAAAAAAGGCTCTCCGGGGCATGTGGCCGCTCAAAGCTGGTGCAGGTGGCCAAAGCCACATAATGTCTATAGTTCGTTCATCTCATTAGGACAGCAATGCAAAAAACTGCTAAAGCGAGAGTGACCAGGCCGTTCTGGATCCCTGTTCATTGAAGTATTTTAAGAAGCGGAAAACCTACTTTGCTCACGATGCTCTTGAGCAGTGCCCAGTTGGGGATATGGTGTTTCTCAAAGCTTTACCTGTTCCACGAACGAAGCATGTGAAACATGAACTGGCTGAGATCGTTTTCCAAGTTGGAAGAGTCATAGATCCAGTGACAGGGAAACCCTGGGCAGGAACTACCAACCCAGAGAGTCCAGTTTGGAAACAAACCACCTGGCCAAAAATCTAGAAGTCACTATCTCTTTCTCCCAGTGAAGGAGAATCATAAGAAACCAAAGGGAAAAATTTACATGTTTGCTTTATGGAAAAAAAATTTTTCTAAGTTTCATCATAAACCGTCCAGTTTCTCGTGTAGTGTTTACGAAGTAGCCAAAAGTAAATGAAGTAAAGGGCCTGTTACAATTTGTCCTTAGATTTACGGCGACATTTCAAATCTTCTTTTCAGGGGACTTACTTTCACACTGCACCAAGTATGCCTCACACTCTGCTCCATACTTTTGTGAGCTCATTGTTTTAGAAGGTATAGTGGTTTTCTTTTTTTCATTCAAAAAATGTTTCCTAAGCCTTTTTTTTTTTGCAGTTTTTGGCCAGAGCTCAGGTTTAAACCTGCCACCTCCAGCATATGAGGCCAGCGCCCTACCCCTTTGAGCCACAGGCGTCACCCTCCCTGAGCCTTTATTCTGAGGCAAGAAAGCCTTTTGGAGGGTGGTGCCTGTGGCTCAAAGGAGTAAGGCGCCAGCCCCATAAGCCGGAGGTGGCGGGTTCAAACCCAGCCCTGGCCAAAAACTGCAAAAAAAAGAAAGCCTTTTGGTATAAACAGATAAGGCCACATTAAGTGAATATTTTTGATGGTATGTATTCAAAATAAATTTAAATATTTTGTCTGATTTCACCAATTCAATAGGAAAAAAAAAGCAGTTCTTTCCTTTCTCACACCCTGCTTCATAAACGAAGGGAGCCGGACAACTACACTTGGGGCTGCAAGGTGTCACGAGAGACCAAGCCCAGGGCTCTGCAGAGGCACGAGCCCGGATAGGAAAGTGTCTATCTCTATTAGCATGGGCAGACCTACCCCAGTTACTGCAGGTTTGCTTCTGTGCACTAGTCTACCTATCACTTTCTGCCTGTGTCTTTTTTTTTTAGAGACAGAGTCTCATTTTATCGCCCTCGGTAGAGTGCTGTAGCATCACAGCTCACAGCAACCTCCAACTCTTGGACTTAGGTGATTCTCTTGCCTCAGCCTCCTCAGTAGCTGGGACTACGGGCACCCGCCACAACCCTATTTTTTTGTTGCAATTTGGGCGGGGCAGTTTGAACCCGCCACCTTCAGTATACGGGGCCAGTGCCCTACCCACTGAGCCACAGGCACTGCCCTCTGCCTGTGTCTGTTAAACTCTAGTCCCCTCTTTCCTCACCTTTGTTTTTCCTTCCTCGCCAGAAAAACAAAAAATGATAACAACAACAACAAAAAACCAAATAGAACATTGCTCACCAGACAGACACACTCTATCTTAAAGGCATTAACAAACCTTGGGTGTCACTGATCTGATCATCCCCTCACCAACCAATGCAGTACTAGAGGGATCACACCACTTAGATAAGGATGGGATTTTTTTTTTTTTTCAGTTTTTGGCCAGGTCTGGGTTTGAATCTGCCACCTCCAGCATATGGGGCTGGTGCCCTACCCCTTTGAGCCACAGGTACCGCCCAGGATGGAATTTTTCCTGGGTAGAGAGTGCCCTGGTGATACCAGAACTTCTCTCTTCAGCAGGTCCTCGGTCTCAGGGATTCAAATAACGAACCCACGATCCACAGATCAATGGCAGGATAGGATTGTTATTAGTTAGGAAAGGGGCTCGGCACCTGTGGCTTAAGTGGCCAAGATGCCAGCCACATACACCTAAGGTAGCGGGTTCGAATCCAGCCTGGGCCCACCAAAACAATGACAGCTGCAACCAAAATTAGCCAGGTGTTGTGGCAGGCGCCTGTGGTCCCAGCTACTTGGAAGGCAGAGGCAGGAGACTCACTTGAGCCCAGGAGTTGGAGGTTGCTGTGAGCTGTGATGCTACAGCACTCTAACAAGGGGGATAGCTTGAGGCTCTGTATCCAAAAAAAAAAAAATAGTTAGGAAAGGAATACAGAAGTAAAAAGCACCAAAGCTTCTGGAAGGGGGAAAGAACTGAACTGAGGAGTCTCTATGTAAGCTCTTTTATCTAGGGGTCTTAAGTCTAGAGGATTACACGTGGCTGGCAGTTGGTAGAGGCAAAAACATCTTTTAAGTTAATGATATATTAACAAATGAATGAATGTAGTTCCTCCTTCACTAAGGCAAGGTTATCAGGTCCTTTACAGTCAAATCCACCACAGGCTGCTTTGCTCAAGATCTTATCAGAGTCCAGAGGGTGTGTCCCGAAGAAGGCAGTCTGCTTGTGCCGGGAAATGGGGTTCTAACCTCTGAGCTCACCTGGACCTTGAGAATGGGGGGGGGGGGCTTTCTGTCTAGCCCTGAGTGGTTGAATCCTGTATCACTGGCGTCATCATAGTTCACTGCAACCTCAAACTCTTGGGCTCAAGAGATTCTCTTGCCAGGCGGCGCCTGTGGCTCAAAGGAGTAGGGTGCTGGCCCCATATGCTGGAGGTAGAGGGTTCAAACACAGCCCTGGCCAAAAAAAAACTGCAAAAAAAAAAAAAGAGAGAGAGAGAGAGAGATTCTCCTCTTCAGTAGGTGGGACTACAAGTACATTCCACCATGCTAGGTTGGTTTTTTTTTTTTTTTCTTTCTTAGAGATGGAGTCTTGCTGTTGCTCAGGCTGGTCTTGAGGTCTTGAGCTCAAGCAGTCCACAGGGTGGCATTATTCTAATGTTGACAGCACAGAGCTGGGAGCTATATAAAAAGATCAGCCTGGGTGGCACCTGTGGCTTAGTGAGTAGGGCACCAGTCCCATATACCTAGGGTGGCAGGTTCGAACCTGCTCCGGCCAAACTGTGACAAAAAAATAGCCGGGCGCTGTGGTGGGCACCAGTAGTCCCAGCTACTCAGGAGGCTGAGGCAAGAGAATCGCCTAACCCCAGGAGTTGGAGGTTGTTGTGAGCTGTGATGCCATGGCAATCCACCGAGGGCAATAAAGTGAGACTGTCTCTAAAATAAATAAATAAATAATTAAAAATTTTTAAAAGGACCAGCCTGGCTCAGTGCCTGTGGCTCAAGCGGCTAAGGCACTGGCCACGTACACCTGAGCTGGTGGGTTCGAATCCAGCCTGGCTCACCAAACAACAATGACCGCTGCAACCCAAAAAAAGCCAGGCATTGTAGCGGGTGCCTGTGGTCCGAGCCGCTTGGGAGGCAGAGGCAGGAGAATTGCTTGAGCCCAGGAGTTGGAGGTTGCTGTGAGCTATGATGCCATAGCACTCTACTCAGGGCAACAGCTTGAGGCTCTGTCTCAAAATAAATAAATAAAATAGGACCAGTCATTGTCACTGGCACTGATGACACGACCCTCAGGAAAGGTGGAGGCCAAAACACAGGAAAAATAAATTGGTCAAATAACACAAGATGATGTCACAAGTTTAGGAGTGCAGTCGCCAGAGAGGTCTTGGGCAGCCTAGACCAGACTCCCAAGGACCAGGAGAGAAGTGTTGCTTTTCACAGGGTACAGATCTGGGTGTGAATTCTGCTTCTGCCATGTACTACTGTGACATCCGTGTCATGTAGTTGATATTCTGTCATCTGTTGTAAACCTCCATTTCCTTGCATGACACATAAGCCTAGACATCTGCTTCAAAGCATGCTGGGAGGCAAAAGTGAAGTAGCGACCTGTTTAGAGAAAACCTGGGTCTACCTCTTATCCAATCTATCGGGACTGTCTTCCTTTGTTCATTTGTTTTTGAGACAGAATCTGCCTCTGTTGCCCTATGAGCGAGATTTTGTCTCAAAAACAAACAAAGCAAGATGCTATGAGCTGTGATTCAGTAGGTACAGAGCCACTGAATCACAGCTCACAGCAACCTCAAACTCTTGGGCTCAAGTTATTCTCTTGCCTCGGCCTCCCTAGTAGCTGGGACTACAGGCGCCGGCCACCATGCCCAGCTAGTTTTCAGCAGAGAAAGTAGACTTGCTCAAGCGAGTCTCCAACTCCTGACCTCAGGCGATCCACTCTCTACAGGCAAGAGCCACGCGCAGCCTCCATCCTTGCGTCAGTGTTGCCAAACAGGAATCCTCCCGAGATTCTGTCCTGTACCCAGCCTGGGAGTTCTACCATCTGTCCCAAACCCTCTAGTGCCACTCTGCTCGCTTTCAGAGTAAAGGCAGAACTGCTCAGCGCTGTACCCGGACCCCCTTACCTCCCGGGCAATAGGGGGCACCCCTCCTGGTGGTCAGACCAGTACCCGGGCTGTAGCGGGCACCTCTCCTGGTGGCCAGACCTCGGTCGCACTGCTGGACGCCCCCTGATGGGTGCGGACACCTGCCCTCCCCGTCGGCGGCGCGCCCACCCTGCCTCTCACCTGATGTAGGGGAGAAAGGGGTTGACGTGCCCGGACAGCACGGCGACCACGTAGGAGATGATGAAGGCGGCGGACGACCAGGTCACCAGGAGGAAGGGGACGAAGGCCATTCCCCTCAGGAAGCACAGCATCGCGCCGCCGCCGCGAGGGCGCTGCGCTCGGCGGGGCCGGGCGCCGGTTGCTCCGGGCTGCCTGGAGGCGGGGGCCGCGCACTCGTCGGCGGCCACGGCGCGGACAGCCACGGGCGGCGGGACG